ACACAGCCGATTCCATGCCTAGAATAAAAGGCTTGGGCTTAGCTTTAACCTGGAATACAAGAAAACATCTGAATATCAGAGACAGAGACCTGTTGGATCTTGCTGTCAATCACAATCCTAGCTTTTTAAGACTGGAGAAGGTGACTTACCTCTTTGAACTTCGATTCCCAATTCTAGTTAAAATTATTCATACTAATAGAAGGCTATAATTGCTTAGTCTTCAGAGGAAGAAGGGGTTGAAGTTCTTCTTTAGAAGTTACCAGAATTAAATCCATGGAGGTTTTTCATCCTGCATTGACTGTACTAGGAGTAAGGCTCTTGTAAGAGATGAGGTAATAAGTCGTTTGCTCTTGAATCTCTGACTTTTGTTCTACTGTGCCATGTGCCTATTTACTGTGAGTTTCATTTCCCTAGAAAACAACCTGGGCTTGGAGAAAATATGCATAAACAATGTTTAGCATTTATCTGTGAGAGTCTCTTAAAAAGCTTACAGCAAATGCTGTTAATATATCCTTTTCAAATCACTGGTTTGGAGAAGGAGGAGAGAGGATAGGAGATGTATATGATTTGCTTCATTTGGTAGATGTAGGAAGTAACACATAGGAGGGCTAAGAGATTTGCAAAGGAATATCATTGGCAGAACCTAAAGATAGAAAATGGCACTCTTAATTTCAAATCAGTTACCCTAACAATTGGTCTTCATCTTTTCTGATTTCAACATGCTGTTTCCTTTCAAAAGAGTGGCACCTTAAACATTCACTTTCACTGAGAGTCCATTCAAATCCATTGGTGAGCCCAAAGGATAATAGCCAAGAAATCATTTAATGAGAGCTAGACCCATTTTACAAGGTATGCTGAATTTCCATTTAATGTGGCACTGCATTCAGCGTGCAATTCTCTGATTTTTCTCTTAAAGTAGAATTTTTAAAAGTTTGTTTTCTGTTGCTTTCTCACTGATTGCTAATCCTAAATGTAGTGGTAATGAAGGGAATAGCTTTCTGGTTCAAGAGTTCAGGCAAGAGTAGATATTATTGACAAAAGGCTTCTAAGTGAGTATCAAGTGCTAAAGTAATTGGTTTTGTGATTTTTTTATTTTTTGATATTGAGTAGAAAAAGTATACTTCCCAGCTCTTTGAGCATCAGTTGTATTTTGTTTCATTTCAACTGCTGTGGTTGATGTTGATATTGTTACTGTGTGAGCCTGTGCCAGGAGTTGGCAGATTTTTTCTGTAAAGGGGTATATAGTAAATATTTTAGTTTTGTGGGACATAGGGTAAACTACTGGATTCTGCTCTTGTGTGAAATGAGCCATAACTTGTACATGCATGAGTGGACAAGACTATGTTCCAATAAAACTTTGCTTACTAAAACAGGTAGAGGGCCAGATTTGGGTCATGGGCAGTGGTGTGTGGACCCTTGGTGTCTATATACATGAACTTCTGTGTCTGAGCACAGTGGAAACTCATTGTTTTCACAGGGTTTCTGCAGCCTTCAGCCAGCTGCCTTCTTTTCCCTGCAAAACTTTGTTATAGGATACTGTTTTTAATTATTGCTTCCAAGAGCCCCTTTTCCAAGGCTGCATCTTTGTCTTAAGAGTTATGAACCTTGGACTGAACTCAGGTGCCTGGTTTTAGTTCTGCAGAAGCAGAGATCATGAAATCTCTCTGTGCTTGAGTCCAGGTGCATGGTTTAGTAAAATGGCACTAGACAAATGGTGATGGACTCCTAGACTCTGTGACCCTGAGCAAACTAGTTAACTTTACTGAGTCCACTCTCAGCTGTAAGAATATCTACGTTGCTCACTCCATGGAGTTGTTGTAAGCATCATTCATTAATTCATCTATTTTCTCTTTCTTGAGCACCTACTTTCTGTCCTAGCTTTTGCTAAGCATTGGGTAAATAATAGTGAACAAAACAGGGAAAGACCTACCTTTATGGAGCTTATTATCAAGTGAATTTCAAATTTGTTAATATAAAAGAAAGAACACTTCAAGTCAATTGATTATACAAAAGATTAGATTTTATCTGATCATTTGAAACAATGATTGTCCTAAAGTCCAAGATAATTTTTTAGTATAGAGTTGAACACTCAAGGAAGCCAATTGGATGGCAGTTTATTTAAAAATTGATAAGGGTTGGGGTCATGGCAGGGAGAGAATAAAGCAAAGTTTAAGAGTGGCCTGATGGGGTAGCTTTCTATTAAAGTTCGTTTCTGAAATAAATCAAAGAGATTTTCAACTCCATCAGGACTCCAAGCCTAAGAAGATTACCATTAAAGTCAGCCAGTCAATGGTAGAAATAAGAGTGTAGGAAGATTCTTTTTGAAGCATAATCAGCAACCAACTGGAAAAAAGTAGCAGCTACTGTGATTACTAGGAAATTTCTTGGCGGGTGTAGAGGTGTGTCAGGTAATCTAATCTATCACCTACTTCAGTGGCATTTGGGTAGTTAGATAAGCATTTCAGCTTAGAAGAAAATATCACTGAGCAGGAGGGAAAAAAACATGGTTATTTAAAACTCTGAGGCCGCTGGGCTCGGTGGCTCAGCCTGTAATCCCGTGCTTTGGGAGGCCGAGGTGAGTGAAATGCCTGAACCTGTGGATTTGAGACCCGCCTGGGCAACTTGGCGAGACCTCATCTCTACAATAAATCAAAAAAATTAGCCGGGCGTGGTAGCCTGCACCTGTAATTCCAGCTACTTGGAAGGCTGAGGTGGAAGGATCGCTGGAGCTCAGCAGGTGGAGGCTGTGGTGGCCGGGAGCGGCCACTGCACTCCATTCTGGGCGACTGAGTGATACTCCAACTCAAAAAAAAAAAAAAAATTAAATAAAAAAAAAGAAAAAATAAAACTCTGAGGCCTTTTGGCCAGTTGTGGATTTGTTATCAGTTGTACCTGATAGCCCACCCCAGTTTACGTCTATGATATTTCCTGAGAGATAACTTTGGGTTCTGGGTGGGGTAGCGATGGAAAAGAGGGACACCAAAGCACAAGACAGACCTTGGTTACAGCCTTCTGAGGGTAGACTTTCTGGAAAATGAACATGAAAAGTCTTGGTAAAGTGTAATGGACCAACTTCTCCCTAGTGCTCTAGGGAATGCATGTTCCGTCAGTGCAAGACCTAGTATGGTGCCTGGCAAACAGCAGATGTGCAGGTAATTGTGGAAAAAAATCACCTCTGCCATCATATGTTCAGTGTTCCAGCCATACCAACTCATCTGCAGATCAACAAATGCACCATGAACCTTTAAGGATGCTGTTTTGGCGCTTGGCATATCCTTTGTTGCTACTTTGCCTTGCTAGCTCTTGCATCTTCTTGAAGCATGTACACAGATGTTTCTTACTTCCTGGAGGTTTTTTTTTTTTTTATCTCTTCCTCTCCTCTCCTACCACCTTCATCCCCTCTTCCTTCATTTCCCTACCCTGATACTTCTGTTATAGTTCATGACTCAATCAGCTGTAGTTGTTTGTGCCTTATGATGGAGATGAGTTAAAATAAGATGTTCAGGGTAGTATTCTTTTTTAACAATTTCTCCGAATTTCAGACACATTTTTCTATTACAAACAACTGATCTCCATCATAAGGTACAAACAACTATAGCTGATTGAGTCATGAACTATAACAGAAGCATGAGGGTAGGGAAATGGAGATCAATTGTTTGTAATAGAAAAATTTGTCTGAAATTTGGAGAAATTGTTAAAGAAAAAAAGAATACTATCCTGAACATATTATTTTAACTTAAAACTTAGAGATGTATATTTATTTGTCCATCTTTTGATATGGGTTGGCCCTAGATCTTTTCTTTGCATATTGGTCTGCTGAATTGAATTTCAGATTATTTTTCTTGTTGAAATCATACAAATCATCTATAATGTTCAGTTTCTGATTTTCTTTTCATCACGGAGTAGAAAATATTGACAAAACAATTAGAAGACTAGATTCTTCCCTGCACCCAGTATTTTGTAGTTTTGCCACTCATACCTAATTCAACTGCATGTTTTATGTGGACTACTTTTATCAAGCCTTTGCAAAACATCTAACTACACTTTTATAGAAACATGGACTTTTTTTCTGTACTCATCTCTGTTGATTTACATATGACTTAATTAAATAATGTATGACACATGATAACTATAGTTTTGAGAACACACACAATTGGTTCTTATAAACACATACCTTATCTGTGGGAGAAGCAGTGCTTGGCTATACAAGAATGGAATAACTGGTGAACCAACTGGTAGGACTAGCAGGAGGTATCAGAAGCAATGGAGAACCCTAGATAAATCCAGCAGGTCAGTTAAGTTAAGGGAGCATATATACATTGAACTAGTCCAGTGCCTGTTCTAGTAGCTGTTCAGTAATTTATCAAATGGGTGTACGAACTATCCAGGAAGTGGAGAGAACTTCCATGGATATGAATTTCAGGACCATCAATGTTTGAACTCATAATTGGCTATCTCCTCTACCTAGACGAGTGCTGGGCCCATGTCAAAAGTTTAGACCTTTCCCACTATCTACCAAATGAGACAGCAAAGAGAAAAGTCTCTCCAACAAATGACAGATTTCGGGCCGAGCTTGCCAGCTGTTTCTGATGAGTGAGAAATGTCTCCCTCTCTGCTCCCTGCTATTCCCTCTTGTTCAAGCCCCTTCTACTTTGACTCTGAAACCTGTGAAATGTTCAGAGTTTAGAGTTTCTGGAGAGATATACCACTGAAGGAAGACATTTGTATTACAATTCAGTATCTGTAAATCCCTTTAATGAAGCTAGTTCCATGGCAGCATACAGAACATCAGATGGCAAAGGCTGTTATATATATAATAGGAGTCAATTTCTGGTATAGGCCCAATTCCCTGTGGGTAATTTTACCATACTTGAAAGGGAGGCACTCAAAAGAAGCATACAGACACACACATTATATACGCACATATTTATGTGTTTTTCATAAGTGCATACACACATACATATGTGCATATATGTACTTCCATAAGCTATAGGCGTATTATGACTTTTCCTCCTAAACATGAGACACATCAGTGTGGGGACATGGAAGATGACTGTGGCTGTAGAGGCAGCTCGCTCATACTAGCAACTATGGAGAGAAACAAGAGACTAAAGCTCGTAATGTGTATGTGTGGAGTGGTTAAACTAATGAGTTAATGGAGAGAAGCAAAATCTCTCTGAGCTATAGTGTAGAGACAGGACTTATCTACAAGACGGAGCAGTGTGAAATTGGGTCTAAGAAGCAGAAAACCATAGTGATATAGCAGCTAAGAGCACAGATCCATCTTTGTTTCAGATAGTTTTGGGCTCAAATGCCGGCTCTGTGTATCTAAGGCAACTTACCTTACTGCTTCATGTTTTAGTCTATAGGAAAGAGCAATAGTACCTCCTTTACAGAGTTAGTGTGAAAATTAAATTTTACATGTAAAGTGATTCACATTACATCTGCCACACAGTGGAACACTTAAAAATATGATATTCCTAGAAATATTAGTTGCATCTGAGTACAGCACAGGGAACCTGCTATGGGCACACTTTTTAGAGCTGGTTGGGATCAGAAGACCTTCATTGAACCAGACTCTCTGATTAATGCTGTGTAGTAAGTACAAAGTGTAGTTTTAGGTACTTTTGGTCCAGGAGTATCAAAGAAGTAGATTTCATAACCACCATGACATGGGTTTGTACATCATAGGAGAGAGGAACCTAATATCCATAGAGGAGGACATGAGTCACATTCAAAGAAATTATATAAACGATTATTGCTGATGAGATTCCACCCCATGTAGGGCTTGAGATACCTGGGGCAGTTTGTTTCATCTGCTTTTAATCACTGAGACTCTTAACACACAGAGGCCAGAGTGCTAGCTAAAATGTATCTGCTTCATGCCTACTTTAGACACCAGAACAGAATTCTGGTTGCTTCCCCTCCTCCCACCCCAGCCTTATCCCAGTTCAGGCCTGTTCTTCTTTATCCCTTATATTAGTATGGATTTGCTCATGACAGTCTTGAGACCTAATGTCAGATACACTCGGGATGCAGATCTTTTATTACAAGGAAGGTTGGACTTGACATATGAGAGGGGTTGAGATGAATGAGTTTCCATTGTATTTATAGAAACTCAGTACAATATCTCCCAAGGTATAAATAGAACAATGGAGTGTTGACAAAGGGGCTGGTTTTCTGTAACTGTGGAAACCCTGCAATTATTCCTGGAACTACACTCATTGTTTATCTGCATCTGAATTTTAATACACAGGGTTCTTGCTGTTTATTCATGAATTTTCAAATGGAAATATCTCTGCCATTATTATCCCCTTCTTGTGAGTCAGGCCCCATCTTCCAAATTTGCAGCTGAGTAAACGTACGGAACATTAGCAGCAATTAGATAATTGGTGCCCCAGTTCGGCCCACCCGCAGCTGTGAATGAATATAGACTGTGAGTGTCACCTGGCGCAGCCTTCTAATGGCACTGCATGTCACCACAGTCTTGCAATTAAGCACAGACATTTACCAGTCCATGTCCCGGCTCTTCTTTCTCCTAAGAGACCCAGAGTAGCAAGGTAAGTGAGGTTCTTTGTGCTCCCTGCTGAGTCATTTTATAATGAGGAATGTTAGGCCAGCGAATTTGGTTAAGAAGAAAGAGTTAGTCCATTTATTTTTGCCTAGCTGATTGCTAAATTGCTTATGGTAACTTGTTTGGTGCATATAGCCAGTAAAAAAAAAGTCATATTTGGATTCTGGACTAGGGAGAGAGGGAGTTGAGTTTTACATTTTATTTTTCTGTAAATCTCTCCAAACTGGCTCTGGGCTGACCACTTTTTGTTTTTACCCTTATTATCTTTTTTTTTTACCTCTGGCATTAATTGGGAATTTCCTTTAGTAGCCACATTTTTTTTAAACGGGTTATTTCTTTTCTCTCTCTCTCTTTTAATTTTTATTTTGAAATTGTGGGGTACAATTCAGGGTTAGGTATACAAATGTCATTGTGCAGGTACCCTTATTGATGAGGTGTGCCCCTCCTTCCCCAGGCGGATATCGATTACTGTCAATCCCAGCTACCTACCCCCCCCCACAGTTTCCTGCTACTTTCAGTCCCTTTCCCACAGTAATATGGTAGTCGTTCAAGGTCCACTTATGAGTGAGAACATGTGATACTCAGCTCTTTGTTTCTGTAGAAGCCACATTTTAATATCTTTCCCCTTAGGATTATGTTTCTCCCAGGCCCCTGGCTGAGTAGGTGCCTTTTCTAGCTCATTCTTTGCTCCTGTCCCTCAGTAATCACATAGCCCTTTTGAGGTATTTAAGTATTTTTTTAAACTGCTACAGACTTCAGGAAAACAGATGGAGTAATATCTGTGGAAACAGGGCTCGCCTCTTCTATCATGTCATTATGATGGAAGCTCATTAGTGTGCAGTGGAGCTCACCCTTCTTCCTCCTCTGCCTTGATCTCCTGGTCCGTCTCTTCACTTTTGCTTTTGGTTAGAGAGAACTACTATCTAGCCCTCCAGTCTGCCACACTCATCTCCAGCCTCATACTCCCTGGAAGCTTTCCTAAGTCACTTCTTTCCTTTTTTTGTTACATACATCTTCTATGTGTTTGAGAGGAGGCGGATGGAGAGGGTGTTGGAAATAGCAAGGAAGGGGGGAGGTTTGGGCTGGATGTTTGGGTCTGTGAATGCATCACATGGAACTCATTCATCTCGTGGGGATCATTCTGGGCCACCTCACTGTGTCCCTGCATAGAACAGGAATGCCATATTGGGTCTTGAACAGAGGGCTCTGAGGAAAGCTCTGGGAGAAGTAAGAGTCTGGCTGGAATTTTGTGCTCTGTTTTTTAATATGGGTCATCCCTTTATAGACATGGTATACATTATCTTTTAGGTTTATTGTTAGCATTTTTGCATGCTAATATTTAATATCAACAATATAATAATAAAAGTATACTTTCTGTATTGAGCACTTATCTGCTTCATGTATCATTATACAGCCTTTCAACAACCTATAAGATTAATCTTATGATCCCTGATTTACAGGTGACGAACTCAGGTTCAGAGCAGTTAGGAAATATTCCAAGGTCACACAGCTAGTAAGTGACAGAGATGGAGTCTAAGCCTAGGTTTATCTAGTTGCAGAGCCCATATTCTCAAACACAGTGCTAAATCACAGGACTCAGGTCATCTGGGGATACAATTAATCTCTGAATTGTTCTTTGCTTGAGAGTGAGATGTTATCTGTATAGTCTGCATTTTAGTCCCTTAAATCTTATGTCCACTTTGGAGAAGTCATTAAAAACAGACTCAGGCAGCAGTAGATTTTAATTTTTTTAGAACCTTTGCTGAATTTTCCCTTCCAGCTAGAAACTAGTTTTCCCAATACTTTCCCCTCTTGGTTTTCACTACTGCCAAACATCAGATGTATCAACCACCTGAAATTGGGCTGCAGGGGTAGAATTTATTTGCAGACATTTTAATTTCCCTGGTGATAGGCAAATTAATTTTGTTGCAATTCTTTAACATTCTAATTGAATGATGGAATGTCACTGAGTATGTTTTACAGGTGAAAGGCAGCCAACATCTTACCATCTATCAGAAAGAACACAGCTTAGGCCTGGGTCTGCAGTTTCCTTTTGCCTTATATTCCAGGCCAGCTCATCCTTCTGGACTTGAGAAGAATCATTTCGCTCAGGATTGTCAAATCTGCAATCTAGTTAAAGTGTTGGCAACCAAGGGGGAAGACCTTTACTTCATTCATTCACTTATCAAACTTTTCTTCGGTGTCTACTATTTTTGTGCCAATCACTGTTCTGGCTCAGTAGTGAGCAAAACGGGCAAGTTCTCTGTGCAGTTCTACTGGGGGAGGCAGATAATAAAGTAATGAATAAATGCAATGTTAAATTCTATGAAGAAGAGCAAAGCAAGAAAGTGGATATGGAATGTTAGGATTGCTGTTTGAGAGGGCTTCTCTGGAGAGGTGATATTTGAGAAAAGCCAGAATGAAGTAAGGAAGAACATTGCAGCCACAGGGAACAGCAGATTCATGGGGCTTACACTCACCTTCAGACAAAAATCATACCCACCACCACATTCAGAACAATGATTTGACCTGAACTGAATGTTCTGTAGCTTCCCATCCTTGTAGCTCATAGGTGCTTCTTCCTGACCAATTCGTCTGGAGAATGTGTATTCCATCTATGTCTCCTTTTTATTAGTCTATTGAAGAGGTAAACAACATCACCATAAAAAGGCAACATGTGAAGCATGACGTAGATGGGATCGTAACATGGACTTGTAATTTCTGTCTCTATTGACAAAGAAACAGAAGTTGTGAGTGGATGAAACATAAGAGTGCAGGGAGATTAAATGGAAGTTTCCAGGACCATTCACTACAAATTCCTATTACATGCTCTTATATAGCCTGTGAGATGGGGTGGGACCACTTTGGTATTCAAATTCCTTCAGCAATAATTTATTATTATTAACTTATTTTTATTGAACTAATATTAGTTATCATTATTATTGGCCATTTACAACATGCCAGGTACTGTTCTGAATACCACATGGATTAACTAATTAATGAATTTTATTCCTTATATCAAGCCTAGGAAATAGGTCCTTTTATTGCCCACATTTTATGATTGAGAAAATAGAAGCATAGAGAGGTTGATAATCACCCAGCCTTGCACATCAACATCTGCTCTGGGTACAACTTATTGTGGCCCAAGCACTGTGGTAGGAGCTGTCAGCTAAGTGTTCTTATCTCTACGTGAAAAGACTAAGGCTAGAAAGGTCAAGCATTTTACTGGAGACCACACAGTTGGGTAGCTGCAGAGTCCAGAATCTAACATGAAATCTAATCTTTCTGGCCAGTAGGCTGTGTTTTAGGGGCTCTGCTAAATTGCTCCTCGCCGCAGTCCAGCACAGGCCACACTCACTTTCTGTGGGTGCAAAGAGGACCTGGACTAGCACTAGCCTTGGGTGATTCCCCAGCACCAAGTAGTGTTCCCTCCTTGTCCCCACATTTCTTCAGAGACTGGGATCCAAGGTGAAGACTGGCCTCTGGGGGATGATGATTGAGTTGCACTGGAAGGATTTTTGTAAGTCTCACAGGCTATTGAGC